TTTTCTATTCAGATGTAACTACCATTGTCCAATCTTTGCGTTGAGTAGATGAGCAGAATAAGGCTCAGAGAGGTTGAATCACAATCCCAGGGTCACACAGTCAAGGTGAAACAGAGCTGGGAACAGAGCTCACACACCTGCGCTGGAAGTCTTTTGGGAGTTACCTGGCCTGTGTGCTCCTTCCTCAACATTTATTCCTCTTGTCCACCATAAAGCAGTGCTGAGTGACACAGAGACACTTGGCTGTGTCTTTCACAGAATCTATTTATTCCCTGGCTGATCGTTTTTTTTCTTTATTTCCCTCTCCTGCGTATGTTGTCAGAATGTCGAGAAAAATCTGACAGCTGGGACTCCATTTGGGGACCACACTAGGGGCTGTGTCTCCAGAGGGTTCACCCACAGTCTCGCTGCACTTTCAAATGTAATACAATTTCATCGGCAGTGACATGGAGCATGAGGGAGAAGGTGAAATGCCATTTCCTAGGGAGACTTAGGGGTGGCTCAGTCCATGCAAGTGACCCCCAGTGACACGTGAAGAAGCCATGGTAGTGCTTGATGAGTGGAGTTCAAATCCCTAACCAGTTTGACCTTGGACAAAGGACTTCTCCTTGCTCAATTCAATTTCCTCATCTGTAACCAGAGAGGCAACAGAGCTTACTCCTCAGGGCCGTGAAGGTCAGGTGAACCTGCTAGCAAGTGACCAGCACTTCGTAGACACACTGGGCCATTTTCTCCCACCCTTTCCTCCTGGACTGTCAATATAGGCAGTAAATTTTTTTGAGGTGAGCACTCCCAGACTTAATGTACAGTGTCAAGCTGTCATAAGAACAGTTCCTAAGGATTCCGTGACAGACGGACAGATGAGTCAGCCACGGGACCGCCAGATTCCACATACACCATATAATAAGACCCAATGTAATGTGACACAAATTAGCCTTCCAGTGTCACAGAGTTTCTGTTCTCAAAAAATAAGGCGGGTGTGGTGGTGCACTCCTATAATCCCAGCACTCAAGAGGGTGAGGCAGGAGGATCTTGAGTTCTACACCAACCTGGGCTATAAAACTAACAAAAAAAGAAAACACCCAATCTTTGGTGATTAAAAGTAGCCAAGTGGAAGTAAAACAGCTTAAAATTCTTTTAAGAGTAGTCAGCCGATGCTGACCTGTTTATTTTTCCAAATAATTAGAACACAAAGCTGGACAATGAAGACTGAAGTCCACTGGGCACAATTTATCTGAATGAGGGAATTCTGAAAGACCTGGGGTGGGGAGAGCCTGGAAGTTACACTTTTAACCGGAGGTGTCTGATGAGAGGGCAATGCCAGAGAGCCCCTCAGATTCAGTGGGGTGAAACGACTTCCCATGCACGAAGCTCCCAGCACAGTGGGTGACCCGGGGCCAGCACATGGCTTAGTCTGGAGGATTCTCTACATAGAAACCAGGAGGGAGCAAAGGTGAGCCACTGCAGAGCCCTGATTAGTTTATTCTGGTCTCTTCCTGCCTCCACGTGGGCCTCTTGAAGGACGTCACCACATGGAGCGGTCCCCACTCAGGGCTCCCTTAACAGGGTGGGACGCCACCTTCCCTCTGAGCTTGGACGTCCACCCCGGTTCCTCTTGTCCTTTCCTTGGGAGGCAGTGGAGAAATTGCTGAACCCACTGACTGCACAGCCCTATCTACCACAAGGGGAGGGCAGACAGGAATGCGTGAAGGGCTCTGTGTATGTGTTGACCTAAAAATTCAAACAAAGATGACAAAATCAAACCAAAGCCAACACTGAGAGATGAAGTTCACGTCCCAGTCAAAAATCTCTGTCCGGAACACCACGGGAAAGTCTTTTGCTGAGTAACACACCAAGCAATGCGGCTAGGACTTCACTTAATCAATCCTTCCTTCCCCCGACCCCATTCCTTCCTTCCTCCCTCCCTCCCTCCATCTTTCTTTCCTTTCTTTTGCTGTTTTTGAGACAGGGCCTCTCTACGCAGCCCAGGCTGGCCTTGAACTCACAATCCTCTTGCCTCAATGTCTCGAGTGCTGGGATTATAAGCGGTGCACCACCTTGCCTGCTTCAAGACCCGACAAGTCTTAAACCTACACGCACACCAATGAGTCTGTGTTTGGGGTCCAGTAGCACCTACTTAATACCTTAAAAAAATATCTCTGACAGACAAATATGTAAAATTGGTCACAAGCCATACAAGAAAATGACATGCTAATTACACACCAGTGTTCTTTACCCACGGCTGGGTGGGGGCCTGGCATTGATTTATTGGCTCCCAATGGCAGCCTTTGCCACTGCTGCCTGTACCAGCCGTGAAAGCAGACTGGCACGACCTCTGTTTGAAGTCCCTTTGTCGTGAATCTATTTTATTACATATTTAAGCTTTTATTAACATAAAAGGTGCTGCTTAGAACTGAGATGACTTTACTGTGGCAGGCTTGCCCTTTCTGAAATTGCTAAGACTGGTGACATTTTCTGAAGAAAACACTGGTTCACAAAGCCTCTGTGGATGCCAGAAACCTCTTTCCCACCCATCCCAAGGCTGTTTGCAGACATCGGGGTCTACTGTTCCCCCAAGTTTTAGCCTAACTCCTGCCTCCCTCGGCCCTCCAAAAATCTCCTGTGCTAGATTTTTTCCATCACTGTGACAAATACCCAAGTAAAACCCAAGGAAGGACGGATTTTCTTTTTTGGCTCACGGTTGCAGTCCATGGCCTGCTGGCTCCATTGCTTTGGGCCTGAGACAAGACAGATTTTCACGGTGGTAAAAGCATGGTGGACAGGAAGAAGAGAAAATGACAGGAAGGGACAAGGGACAAGGTATATCTCAGCAGGGCACACCCCAGTGACTCACTTCCTCCTGCTAGGCCCCATCTTCTAAAATTTGTACCACCTCCCCAAATAGTGCCATCAGTGGGGACACAGGTTTCAGCACATGAGCCGGTGAGGGACACTTTGCATTCAAACCATAACACCTTTGTACGTCCTGTGGAAGTGGGGTTGTCTGTGACAGTCCCATTCTGCCCTGGTAGGATATGTATGGCTCCAGCTCTAAATACAGTCATTGATGCTACAGCTCAGCCTCCCACCATGGACAGGGACACCACCGCAGAAGCTTATGGATCACAGCTGGCAGCTGCTTGATTGACACAGCGTTTGTGAAGAGTTTCAACTCGAACGTCTTTACAAGAGGCATTGCTGTCTACTTTGCCCCACTCCCCACCATTCCCTATTACTCTGACTTGAGTTAGTTGAGTTTTCAACCTAGGTGTGTAAGCCATCGTTTGCTTTCTCTCATCATGGCACTGATGGAGCAACCCAGCCCAGACAGGCGATGGGAGCTCAGATCTGCATGCACAGCCAGTGACTCCTGAGAACAGCTCGGCACTGAGCTGCCTTCCTCCCTTGGTGCTTGACTATCTTAGCACAGCAGCTCTGAAACCAGGTAACCAAGCATCACTGTGGTATCTATGTGACGGTTTACAAGCTGTGTATATTCAGGAAAGAAGAAAAGAAAAAGATAGTTTCATTTCCTTAAGAAGTCTTGCTGGATGCTGGTGGCTCATGCCTGTAATCCTAGCTAGTCAGGAGGAAGAGAAGTCTCAGCATTGGCGGGGCATGGTGGTGCACACCTGTAATCCCAGTACTTGGGAAGCTGAGACAGGAGGGTTGTGAACTCCAGGCCAGCCCTATTTTTCAAAGTTGGTAAGAGAAATTGAATTCTTTAGCTTACCAGGATCTGTTAACTGAGTAGGAGATAAAGTAGGCAGTTTTTTACCTTAAATTTCTTTTCACAAGACCAAGAAAACAATGCCTTTTCACAGGTCTCTCTTTTGAGCTCAGCAGAGTCTTATTCTGTAACTGCTTGGTGAAGTTCATGAAAGGACTCCATCCCTGGGTTCTTTTGGGTCAGTGCATTTGGAGAACACAGAGATTACTGTGCCCAAGGAGTCTGCAGAGGAAGCGGGATGACCCTGACATTTACAGATGAGGGCGCACAGAGCAGGTATGCCCCTTGGCCAAGGTCACACGGTTAGCCCATGGACTTGAGCCACATTTGTTGACAGCTTAAATTGGATCTTTTACCCTCCCCGCCAAGCATCCAGGCTCCCCCAATTGAAGGCAAATGCCACAAAGCCACACCACAGCCCGCCTCTGACTCAGAGGTCATCAGAGGATTAAAAAGTCAAAGTTTGAGGGGAGGAAATAAACAGAATAAAAGAAATTCAGTCCCGTTTTTCATTATTAATATTTAAGTTGATATTCAAAGGGGTGTCTCGATGTGACCCCGCTGTGAGTCTACTTTACTTTGGTCCATTCAGCCCCTCCCACTGCTCTCCCTCACCCCTTCACCTCCCACCCCCCATTTCACCAGCTTTCAGTGCACATCCTTATGTCCTCCACCTCCACAGATGTGACGTTTCATGACATCACTGATGCTCTGTCGTTCTCTTCCCTTCCCCTCCTCCCCGAGTTCCATGGAGCAGAGCCACTGTTACACGCATGTCTACACCTGAGTTTGTGTGTGACCGTGCTTGGTTTTGTGTGTGTTTATCCTTCAATCTGTCAGGGCTGTGACATAGGTACAGTGGAGGGAACTTTTGGGAGGGGAGGGTCAATGAAGGAGGTGAAGGTGAGGGAATGTGGTGGATGGACTTCATATACTTCTATGAAACAGAAGAAAGACACCTCTCGCAATTGCTGTAAGAGCAGCGGGGAGGGGGTCAAAGGGGAGAGATGATGGGGGTGACTTAACCACTGTACAATCTAAGCCTATCTGGAATTGTCACAATGAATCCCCCCTGTATAATGAATATATCCTGATAAAAAAATTAATGAAAAAAAAGAGAAATCCAGCGTATCTTGGGAGAACAGACCTTTTGAGCAGGTCCTGAGGTTTTGGTGTTAGCACCCCGGAAAATTGCAAGCAGTTTTCACATGGAGTGCGCGGGGCCCTGGCCCAGCCCAGCCCAGGAAGAAGGCAGAGTCGGGGTCCCTACCTCCTTCAAACTCTGTCTGGCAGCTCCCCGAGGTCTCGTTGAGGCTTTCCTCCTCGTTGACAATGATGTTCTCGATGTCCTTCATCGTTAAGTGATCCCGGAAGGCGTGATAGAGGATGTGTTTCAACTCCTCCAGCGTTATCCTCTGCATGTCAAACTGGAGAGAAAGGGACAGTGAGATGCAGTCTGTGGACACAAAGGTCACAGTTCCACCATGACCACGTCTTCTTGGGAACCCTGTCTGCGCTCTCAGTTTCCATCTGTTCAGCTCCAGGCATCTTTGTGAACTTGAAGGGACTTTCTGGGAACATCTCTCCCCTCCATTTAGGCTCTTGGAGAAAAAAAAAATGCCACCTGCTAGTTTGATTTCCTAGTCACGTAGCCATCTGCTCTCAACCCTCCCCCTCTCCTGTCCTTCAGAGTTGGGTCACACCTCAGATAGTGTGTGTGTTTCTAAAAATGTTATTGTTTTCCAAGAAACCAGCCATTCCCATCTTGCTGTGAACAGCCGCTTAAGTACGAATCTGTTATGGTGGTCCTCAATATGGTAGTGTTGAGATGGGGGACACCTTTAAGAGACGGGGCCCAGTGGAAAGTGGTTAGGTCATTGGGGTGCTGCCCTTGGAAGGGATTCAGGTAGTTCTTTTGGAACCCAGTTAGTTCTCACAAGTGCAAATCTGACCCTAAATCACTTTCTGGTCTCTGACCCTAAATCACTTTCTGGTCTCTTGTCTCACCGTGTGATCACTTATTCATGTGTTGTTGACATTGTCACCACCTCCACCATGAGGCTTTCATCAGAGCTGAGTAGAAACCAGCACCACACCCTTGCATCTCCAAAACTGTGAGCTAAAGAAACCCTTTTTCTTTACAAGTTTCCCAGTCTTGGGCATTTTGTTACAGCAATGGCAAATGGACTAATGCAGTATCAAAGGATGCATCTTGTTCCAATGCCCTTATCAGATAAAATGCAAGTTCACGGCCACAGTTATAAAGGACGGCTGGAGGGGAGGTGTGGGGCTCCCTGTAATGTCCTGTCTCTCTCCACTTATGTCAGGTTTGGAAATGCTATTTTTTCAGTCAATGAAGTGTGAGTAGTAGGCCTGTATCCAGTTACAAGCTGTAAGAGCCACTGTGTGATTCTATTGTTTGTTCTTTTCCCTCCACAGAGGGGCTGCTCATTCCAGATGGGGACAAAGTGTAGAAGCCCTGAAGCCATCTCATGAAGGACAAGCAGTGTGTATTAGGAATGCCCTTTATAGCTGGGTGGTGGCCCACACCTGTCACCCCAGCTACACAGGAGGCTGAGATAGGGAGGATCCATGGTTCCATCTCAGTCCGGTCTAAAAAGTTCACGAAACCTTATCATCTCCGTGTAAAATAGTGGGTGTGGTGGTCCTGTCATCCCAGGGACTTCAGGAACCAAAAATAGGAGGATTGTGGTCCAGGTTGATCTGGGCAAAAGGTGAGACCCTCTGTGAAAAATAACCAAAGCAAAAGGGGCTGGAGGAATGCCTCAAGTGGTTGAGTGCTGTCTAGTAAGAGTGAAGTCCTGAGTTCAAACTCCAATACTACCTGCAAGGAAGGGAGGGAGGGAGGGAGGAAAGAAGAACCATTTGGTGTTATTTGCCATGGAGGTTTTGGATAGCTAGGTATATCTTAGAGCATCTGACAGTTGGTTTGCAAGCTGAGAAAAAGAACAATCCAGCCAGCTCTCTTTCTGTTTCTGTCTTGTGGTGGCTGGGGCAAGGAGACCATCACCAGAGGCTGAGCAGATGAGGCTGCCTGATTTTGGACTTTCATCCTTCAAAACTGGATGAGATAAGCATCAGTTTCAAGTCTTTTGTTATAGCCGCAGACAATGGACTAATACAGTGGAAAATTAATATTTATCAGCAAGAATGCTGACTGTCACAGGTTGTATTATTTCCTTCCTTTCCCTGTGGGAGGCTTTGGCTAGTTAAATGTAAGTTAATATATGAAGGTCATAAAAGTCCAAGGAGACCCTTCAAAGCCATTGCATATTCTGTCAAATCAGTTTTCTTTTTTGACAAAATACATCAAATAAGGGCTGTTCCTGCACTCCTAGCCTTGGAGTGACTACAACACGAGTAAACCCTCACCCAACTCATGGAAGGCATGAGAGTTGAGTGAGAAATAAACCCTTGTTACTCAGAAGACCTTGGCGTTTCAAGAGTGGACACAGAAATCAATGTTTTATGATTAGTTTGTACATGATGAAAGAAATTTCTAGACTTCTTCTTTCCTTGCTTCCTTTATAAAGCAACTCTTACTTTGTTCTAAGAAACTACAGTAGGTTACTGAAGTTGCTGGAAAATCTGAATGACTCAAGTTCAGAGCTGTTGATGTAGCAAGAGCAAAGGGACAGGAGTGACATCCTGTGGACCTGTGTTCTGCATCACAGTTCAGTGAATTGTGGTGCCTTCTCAGGGAGAATCGCTCTTCATGATGCCTATGTGGGGATGGTGACCTCAGCCTGAGTGCATGGAACCGCAAATCACAGGTAAGAAGATGGGGACTTCCCCGCCAGGAGCAGAGATGAACAGTATTGAGCTCAAAGAGATTTTGAAAAAAAATGAGTAACCATTTTCTGGAAGATCCATCTAAGGACTGGAGTGCTGGGAAAAACACCAGTTTGAGAGTTTGCTGTAAATCAGGAATTAGACAGATGGGCCAGGGACAGTGAGGAGGGAAGGAAAGATGAAGATTCTACAAATCTCTAGTTTTGACGATGTCTGCCATGTTGTCCTATTAGCACATGTTATGATTTAGATGTAAAATGTTCCCAGAGGCCCAGGGGTTGAAGGCTTGGCCACCCAGCAGGTGGCACTACGGAGAGATGACTGGATCAGGACACCATTGAGGTCATCAATGGGTCGATCCATTGATGACTTCATTGCTGAATAGGTGAATAGGTGGGTCATTAGGAGGAGGGGCCTCATGGGAGAAAGTGGGTCACTGGGAAGGTGACTTCGAAGCATATAATTGTCCACGGACCCTTCCTCTCTCTTTCTCTGCTCCCCTACTGCCTTGAGGTGACCAGTCATATTGGTCCGCCATGATGTTTCAGTTCAGAAGCAATGGAGCTGGCCTGCCATGGAGCCTGGAGCCAAAATGAATCTTCCTCTTTTTAAATTATTTCTCTCAGATATTTGTGACAGCAAGGGACGACAGCCTGACTAACACAGGATCCTGACATCTAAACAAAACTGGTCGAACGTGTCTTCTATATTGTCAGAATACCTTTGTCTTAAACGTTTGAAAGAAATCACCACAACACAGACACATACAGCAACTGTTTGTCTCTCGGCGATGGATCCACTCAGCTTTACATCTCCCAAATCCATGTTGGAATTTTGTTCTTTTGTAGAAAACCAGACATGACTTTTCATTATTGCTGTTAGCTTGCAATTCCACACAGTTTAGCCACAATCTTAAATTTCTTCCAACATTTATTATACCCCATTTCCTATAATTTTGTGTAGAAAACTCTTTTCTAGTTTGAATTTTTTGTGTGTTTCTAGATCATATAACTGCTATTTTTAGAAACCTCAGAGATTTTATATCACAGTGGAATCTCTGGAAGGTCAATTTATACAAATGCATTTTTCTTTATTAATCACACTGTATAACGACAATCTGTTTTCTGTAACCTTAGTTTGTACAAGATTTGTCAAAGACCGTAAGTAACAAATTAAAGACTGAGGAAAGTATTTCTCTCTCATTCTTACAGTCATAAAATTTAGTGGTGGGACTGGGATTTGAACTGGATTTGAACTCATGGCTTTCTACTCACAAAGCAGGTGCTCTACTGCTTGAGCCACACCTCCAGTCCATTTTGCTCTGGTTATTTTGGAGATGGGGTCTTGAGAACTATTTGCCTAGCCTGATCTCGCCTCCCAAGTAGCTAGAATTACAGGCATGAGCCACCAGCACCCGGCTAAATGAAGCTATCCTTTAGAGCAAAATGATTTATACTCAAATGCAACAAATAGCTATTGAGGGTGACACTGCAATGTAGGTATAAAGTGAGGAAGCCATAGGCCCTACTCCCAAAAGACAAGCTATGACCACCTTTAATTCGTTGTGGTTCCTGTGTTGGTAAGAGACGTGGAGGAGTATTTGCTAACACCAGGGAAACAGGGAATGGTCATAGAGGTGGTCCTGATGACCACACATGGAGTTAATGGCCTAAGAAAGAGAAGCTGAGCTTCCCAGCTGAGTTGGGGTGGAACAGAAGTAGGATGAGGAGCAGGAAGAGGAAAAGTGTAGGTAAGCTGGGGAAACAGCCATACCAAGGCCGTACCAAAGGTGCAAAGGCCTGGCGTGGCCCCTGTGTTAAAGAGTTGGTTGCCATCTTAGTGCTAGTGGGAGGAGGTAGGACATTTAAGAAGTGAGGCCTAGTGGGTCATTGTGGACATGCCCTTGAACGGTGTGGTTGACCCTGGTCTCTTCCTTCCTCTCTCCATGCCCCACCCCCATGAGGTGAGCACTCTGTGGGTTGATCCCTCCCCACCAGACACCTGAAAGCAATGGGACAACCAACCTTAGAAATGCATCCTCCAAGATTGTGAGCCAAAATCAACCTTCTCTCTTTGTAAGCTGATTCCCTTGGGCATTTGGTTACAGTCTCAGAAAGCTGACTAACACAAGGACAAAATGTTGTCTTCTGAGAACTAGGCATAGTCAGGAAGAGGTGGCAGGGAACCAGGTGAGAACTATAGGTGAGGTTCTGTCAAGAAAGGCCTTTTCTGTCATGGTGAAGTCCTTGAGTTTTTAAATTTTTTATTGTGGTGAAATATATGTCATATAAAATGTATGACTTCATTCATTTTTAAGTGTACATTTCTGTGGCATGGAGAGCACTCATACTGTTGTGTAACCATCACTGCCACCCATCTCCAGAACCTTTTCATTTTGCAAAACTGAACCTTTGTAGCCATTAAACACTAACTTCCCAATCCTCTGTCACTGTCGCCCTGTCAACCCCTTGCTTCCTCTATGTTTCTATGAACTTGGCTGGTCTAGGAACTTCCAATATGTAGAATCACACAGCATCTGAGATTTTGTAACCTGCTTAGTTCATCTGGCACAAGCATCAAGGTTCATGTGTGCTGTAGGACATAGCAGAACAGC